ATAGTTAGCTTAATTACTCATTTTAGTATTTAAAATCATAATTTTTCTTTAATTAGATAATACTAAAATAGAATTTACAGAGTGAATGAAAATATCTTCGCAACTACATTAATGAATAACCCATAAGCACCCCCAAAATTCAGTGTCACAAGTGCATGAGCATCAACTAGGAAGTAAAATAAAATACAGCATCTATCCGGAATAAAACTTAGACAGGAGAATACAAAATAACTCTGAAGGAGATTCTGTAGGTTGCGAATCGTAACATGAAATGCAGCTCGCTGTAAGTCCCCGCATCATCCGCACCCAGAGGACCACCAGACATAAATGTACCTGCACAAAAATGTGCAGCAAGTGTAGTATGAGTACGTAAATCAACGTGTACCCAGTAAGTATAGCCTAACCCCGGAGGAGTAGTTACGAGGTGTCGACATCGACACTTACTAATGGTCCAATAATATCAGGTACAGTAAAGAGGCAAACGAATATGAGGCAGAGTAAATAAATGAAATAAACAAGTATAATTACATGGTGCAATCCTCCTCTTCACAATAGACTCAAGCTCTCATTTAGCAAATTCCTCCTCAATCGAAGCAATATATATATATATATATATATATATATATATATATATATATATATATATATATATATATATATATATAAAATGGACCTCACCGGATAGATTGTTATAATTCTAATCAGGAAAAACTCACAGATACACTGGCTTCCTGCCAAATGTTACGCACGATTCCATGAGGATGTTTTATAGAAATGTCGAGGCGTACGGACCAATCCCATCATAATCTGTGCATTGCCGGGGGTCGAACGGCACGAACTATAGATGCATCTATTAAACTGCCAAGGCGAATGGCCCGCTTCCATGAGAGTGTGGTACATAAATCCTGCCGAGGCAAACGGCCCGATCCCATAAGATGTGAAGTACATAATCCTGTCGAGGCGAATGGCCCGATCCCATTAGAATAAGAAGCTTTAATGGGCCCTTGACCCCACTCACGAATAAACATGTGAGTTATAATTTATAAGGATAACCTTTCGATGAAAACGCCTAGCGCGTGAGAAATCTGTAAGAGGAACGCCATTATTCCATGGCAAATCATGAAACTCGTGAAATGTCTACATTAGCAAGTCTATCACTCTATGCATGTATAGTCTCAAGTCGTAATGTGAAATAAAAGAATTAAACGAGCAAAGATAATTCCTATAGTACAAGTATAGCATGGTGTGAACCTAAGTCTACCCAGACAATAACATGAATCTAACTACGGACGGACTCTCGTCACCTCGTGCGTACGTAGCCCCCCACAACAAGTAGCAAATATCAATTACAACACCTAGGGGTAGTTTCCCTTTCACAAAGTTAGATAGGAGACTTACCTCGTCTCAAAGCTTACTCTCCGGTCCACAATTGTGCTTTAAACTCTCAATTCGGTGCCAAACGAGTCGAAACTAGTCAAATGTTATATAAAATAGTCAATATATGCTCAAAAGTTCATATCCTAAGTATTAAGTGATTACCTAACCCCAATTGAAGAATTTCCAAAATTTGCCCCCTGGGCCCACGTGCCCGGATTTCGAATCGGAGAAAATGGTTACACATAACCTCATGAAGTCAAATATATGATTTCACTAAATTCCATAACCATTTTCGTGGTCAAATCCCATTTTTATCCAAAACCTAGGTTTTTCATCTAAACCCTTGATTTCACAAATTTTTACATGTTAATCTACCCATAATCTATGTATTTAACTCATGTTGTGTAGAAATTACTTACCTCAAAGTGCTAGGTGAAACCCCCCTTCCAAGAGCTCTAAAAATTGCCCAAGAGATGAATAAAAATGAGCTAAATGGCTAAGTCCCGCATTTAATAAAGCTGTGCACAGGTCGCAGATGTCGCATTTGCAACACCCGATTTGCAAAAGCGACAAATTCATCGCAAATGCGAATCTGGGCTCCCTCTGTCAAGGTCGGAAATGCGACCAAAAGCTCGCAAATGCGAACTCTGTCAAGGTCGCAAATGCGACTGGAATCTCGCAAATGTGAGTCCTGCCCAGATCAGGCTTCTTTGCAATTGCGAAACCTTTCTCGCAAATGCGAACCAATTCTCGCATTTGCGATACCTGAGACACCAGCAAAGAAAACCCAGAAAACTGAAGCTTTCTCATCCTTCCAAACATGTCCGAAACTCACTCGAGCCCTCGAGGCTCCACACCAAACTTCCACACAAGCCTAAAAACAGCATACTAACTCGCTCACGCGATCGAAACACCGAAATAACATCTAAAATCACGAATTGGATGCCAAAACGCATGAATTAACTCATGAACTCAAAAACTTCTAAAAATACTTCCGCGCGTCCGATTCCTATCAAATCAACTCGGAATGATGCCAAATTTTGCGTACAAGTCTTAAATGACATTATGAACTTATTCCAACTTCCCGAATCGGAATCCGAACCTGATATCAAAAAGTCCTCCCCGGGTCAAACTTCCAACTTTCGCCAAATGACTTTGAAATGACCTACAGACCTCCAAATCCTTATCCGGACACGCTCCTAAGACTAGAATCACCATACGGAGCTATTCCCAGGATCGGGATCCCAAACGGACATTGATAACATTGAAATACACTTGAACCCAAATTCATGAAATTCTTCCAAAACGCCAACTTTCCATAATAGGCGCCGAAACGCCCCGGGGTCATCCAAAACCCGATCCGGACATACGCCCAAGTGCAAAATCATCATATGAACCTATTGGAACCTTCAACTCCCGATTCCGAGGTCGTTTAATCAAAAGTCAAACCTTAGTCAATTTCTCCAACTTAAAGCTTCTGAAATTAGAATTTTCTTTCCAAATCTGCTCTGAACTTCCCGAAATTCAATTCCTATCACATGTACCAGTCATAATACCTGAAGTGAAGTTACCCAAGGACTCAAACCGCCTAACGACGCGCTATAGCTCAAAACGACCGATCGGGTCGTTATATTTTTCAAAAGAGTATAAGTTTGTGTCGAAAGTGCAAGAATTCTTTTACACAATAACCTATAGCAACATTCACGCACCGTATCAGGGTAAGGTGGATTAAATGAAGATCAACGTCTGGAGTCCTGTGCGACAAGAAGGTGCCACTGGAACTTAAAGGTAAGTTCTATAGAGCGGTGGTTAGACCGGCCGTGTTGTATGGGGCTTAGTGTTGGCCAGTCAAAAATTCTCATATCTAGAAGATGAAAATAGCCGAAATGAGGATGTTGTGATGGATGTGTGGGCACACTAGGCAGGATAAGATTAGGAATAAAGATATTCGGGAGAGGGTGGGCGTGGTTCCCATGGATGTCAAGATGCGGGAAGCGAGGCTTAGATGGTTCGGGCACGTGCGGAGGAGGAGCCTAGATGCCCCGGTTAGGAGGTGTGAACGGTTGACTTTGACAGGTACATGAAGAGGTAAGAGGGCGGCCTAAGAAGTATTTGGGGCGAGGTGATCAGGCAGGACATGGTGCAACTTCAGATTTCCGAGGATATGGCCCTGGATAGGGAGGTATGGAAGTCGAGCATTATGGTTATAGGTTAGGGGGTAGTTGAGCGTTTTTCCAGCTAGTCTGATAGTGTTTTGTCTAGGTCTGCTAGCGCTTTTTGTTCATCACACGATTTTTATTTTATTTTTTCAATTTTATTATTAGCATATTTATTGTCCTTCCACTTATTTGTTGTCTCTTACGGTGCTTATACTATTTTTTTGATTTCTATTGTTGTTATAGATCTTTTGTCTCTCAGCCGAGGGTCTCCCGAAAACAGCCTCTCTACCCCCTTAGGATAGGTGTAAGGTTTGCGTACACTCTACCCTCCCCAAACCCCACTAGTTAGTTTATTACTGGCTGATGTTGTTGTTATTGTAATAACCTATAGCAACATGTAACTTCCTATTAAAAAACTAATATGATAATCTCTGAGCATTTTTCGGTTGTTATGGGGTTACACCAAGGATCTGCGCTCAGCCCATTCTTGTTTGCTCTGGTGATGGACGCACTGACACACCATGTTCAAGGAGAAGTGCCATGGTGTATGTTATTCGCTGATGACATTGTTCTGATTGACGAAACGCGGAGTGGCGTTAATGAGAGGTTGAAGGTTTGGAGACATGCCCTTGAGTCTAACGGTTTCAAGTTGAGCAAGACAAAGACGGAGTATCTTGAGTGCAAGTTCAGAGCCGAGCCGAGGGAAGCGGGCATGGACGTGAGGCTTGGATCGCAAGTCATTTCCAAGATAGGCAGTTTCAAGTATCTTGGGTCGATTATCCAGGGGGATGCAGGCACACTGGTTATTATTTCTACTTTCCATTTATTCACTGGTTCTTATAATGTTATTATTTTCATGGTTTTTTATTGATGGTAATGATATATTGTCTCTTTTCGTCTTCTTGAGCCGAGGGTCTATCGGAAACAACCTCTCTACCCCATAGGAGTAGAGGTAAGGTCTACGTACACACTATCCTTTCCAGACCCCACTTGTGGGACTATACTGGGTCGTTGTTGTTTTAATACGATAATCTAGAAAATAGAAAAATAATTTGCTACAATCAGTTAAAATTATACCAAGAGTGCAAAAATAGTACTATCCGTGTATATAACATAAATCCTTTCCACACTACCCGGAGTCGGAGAGAAATATAGTAAGAGCGTCATGCCTTTCTGTCTTTCGTCCAAGTCTGAACAATTATTGGTAGTATTATTTTCTACAAATGATTACTCAATAATCTGAAGATAGAGATGAGTGGTTGAGCAGTTAGTTGGCTTTGTTTGTTCACACTCTTCTTTAACCAGCAGCTCACCACCACACGACCCCATGCCATCTCCCTCCTAAACAAAAATAAAAGGAAAGAAAACGAACTCCTAACGGCTACATTTCACCTACGCGCCAAGTTCTGCATGTAAATAAATCAAATTTTGGTAAAATGGCGTATGAATTGGTCTGTAACAGAAAACACAAACACAAACACAAACTGAAAAACAAAAAGAAAAAGCAGATGATGATTCTTTTTGGACCCACAAACACAACCCACACAAATGTTTTCTCTTTTGTTCCTCTGCTTTCGCACCTCTCCGCACCAACTCTAATTTCTTGGCTTTCAAATAAAAATCCCTTTTTTTCTCCTCTCCGCATATCTCGCAAAATTAAAATTCCCCATTGGATGAATAGAATTTCCTCCTCCGCAAATCTTTGAACTCTCTTCCAAATGAACAATCTTTTTACGGAGACCCAATGAGCTAATGTAGAGACCCTTTTTTTTTTTACTATTTTCACCTCCCTTTGACCCATTTTCTCTATCCGGGTTATGGGTCATGGGTTGCGTCAGCTCCAAGCAAGCCACGTCCCATTCCCCGGCCCACGATTCATCGTCGGTGACTGTTGTAGACAATGGCGATCATTTATTGCATATAAAGGCAGCTGGGTTTGCCCCATTGGAAAAGATCAAAGAGGAGCCTGATAAAGAAGGGGAGGATAATTCTGTCCACCGTAGCCGATTCTCTGGGAATTTGAGGAGAACCTCCTCCTCTTCCAAAAAAGGGGCTAATTCTGAAAAAAGGGCTACTTTTAGCATTAAATTTGGGAGGTTAAATGAAGGTGAACATTTGGCCGCCGGTTGGCCAGCTTGGCTTACTGCCGTTGCTGGTGAAGCCATTGATGGATGGATGCCTCTTCGATCAAACATGTTCCAGAAATTGGAAAAGGTAAATCAAAACATGATTTTTTATATGTTAAACCAATTTTGAATTCCTTAAATGAACACCATATTTGATGTATCTGTTTATTACATTAATTATCACCAACAAATGAATACTTCTTGCAAATTTTAGCTTCATAGGATATGTATACAAAGTGCAAATAGTTTTTGATAATTTTGCACTGTACACATTTGTATTCATGTATGTATAGAGCATAAAAAAAAGTTTTCCTTTTAATATCTTCATCATGTTAAGTTCAACTCGGGCATATGCCAATCATAGATTAGGCATTAGTTCAAGTCATTGTGTCCTATTTTGTTTCAATCAATTGTGTAACGAAGTTAATGGATTCAGCTCTAAGAAATAATGATGAACTGTTAAGAATCACTAGCGAAGTTAGACTGCTAGATAGCCATATTGCAGTAAAAGGAATAGAACCCCTTGAAGAAACTATCTAGAAATTACTGATTCTTGTACTTATTGATAAGAACTTTAAGTAATAGCCCTATTCTTTTTTGCATAAATAGTTCGAGAGAACTCACATTTGTTTCAAGGCTATAAATCTCAGCTTCATTATACTTTGACTATTTTTGCGCTGGCGTCAGCCTATCATTATCCTCCTCCTTTATTTAGGTTTAGGATTGGCTATGTTCTGAAACTCGCATTGGTGAGGTTATCTAGTATTGTCTAAGAACAGTTGGATACAGTGGATTCTTATGGTCGATGCGTACTAATTCAGTTGTGAGGCATAGTTGATTAATTGAATTTTCGCGGCTTATTCCATCAAGGTGAATTTGGATGAATAAGATGCTGTGCCACTTCATGCTTTCTCATTAGTTCCTACTCAATCATCAGCCTTTAAATTTGATTAATTGGCTAAAGGTTCTGTGCTTATTTTAGCAAGTTCTGTTACCTGAGACTATAAAGTAGCATTTTTTAATCCATCTCATGGTAGCATGTTAATGAACTTGATCCTCCCCAAAAAAGGAGGGGTTTCTTACTTCATTGACTTGCCTTTCGTATCTTGCAATCTGAACTTTCATGTGATCTGCATGCTATTTCCAGTTATTAGGAATTACCAAGGGCTCTACCATGAACTGGAAATACCTTTGGATTCTGCTTCACTTATAACTTTGTGCCCTAAACGTTACCTCTGAAGAAAGAAAAGCTTATAGTCAGAGTTGTTAATCTGAAAGAAAACCGGTGAGCAAGAGATAGATTCGTCTGAGTTGGGATTTAGGTGACATGGTTTATATTGAAGGATTTAACTACATGCCTTATATCTAGGCCTTGACTGTCTACTTTGAAATTAACTTTGTCACTGGCATTAGGACTGGCAATTTGTAATTGTATATCATCACCCTACTAATGAAAATTATTTTCTTCTTACGAAGATTTTTTCTGCTTTCAACATCTATAGATTGGACAAGGTACATATAGCAGTGTTTACCGAGCACGTGATATCGAAAGTGGTAAAATGGTCGCCCTAAAGAAGGTGCGATTTGACAATTTCCAACCGGATAGTGTCAGATTTATGGCACGAGAAATTGCAATTCTCCGCAAACTTGACCATCCAAACATCATGAAGCTGGAGGGGATAATCACTTCTCGGTTATCATGTAGCATCTACCTTGTATTTGAGTATATGGAACATGACCTCTCTGGATTATTATCATGTCCTGACATCAAATTTACTGATTCACAGGTTTGTTCATTTTTGATGATGTCTCTCTAGCATTAATTTAGTGTTAAGATCGCTGTTTGTGTCTATCTCTTGTCTTGCGAAAAGGAAAAATAGAAAAAATAGAATTGTAAGAAGATTCTCTTTGTTTATCTCTGAATGTATATTTTGCATGGAAGTAGATCAAATGCTACATGCAGCAGCTACTGAGCGGACTAGAGCATTGCCATTCACGAGGGGTAATGCATCGGGATATTAAAGTTTCTAACATTTTGGTAAACAATGAAGGAATTCTGAAAATAGCAGATTTTGGTCTTGCAAATTTCCTTAGTTCAAGGTACAAACAACCACTGACCAGTCGTGTGGTTACATTATGGTATCGACCTCCTGAACTTCTGTTGGGATCAACAAATTATGGGGTCACTGTGGATTTGTGGAGTGTCGGTTGTGTTTTTGCAGAACTCTTTTTTGGAAGGCCTCTCCTGAAAGGGAGGACAGAGGTCAGTAGTTTCCAAAGATCTTCTTTTGAATTTGATAATATACATCTCTGTGGAAGTTGCAAAATGGGACATGATTAATAAATAGTGCTAAATTAATATGGCTGAAGTCTCCCAAAATGATACGAAGCAAGTAAAAAGTACTCCTATATTGAACGCCTTGTAATATCACTGTTTCTGGTCAATTATAAAAAGATTCTGTTCTCGTTTATCCTGCAGGTTGAACAACTGCACAAAATATTCAAACTCTGTGGTACCCCACCTGATGATTACTGGAAAAAGTCTAAACTTCCACTTGCAACTATGTTTAAGCCCAAGCAACCATATGAAAGTACACTTCGAGATAGATGTAAAGAATTACCAAAAACTGCTGTGAACCTTATTGAAACACTTCTTTCAATAGATCCTTATAAACGGGGAACTGCTTCATCTGCTCTCAATTCTGAGGTAAGCTTTAACCAGACAGCAGTAAATGAGTTTTTATCTCACTGCAAAGTTTCCATTTGACCGACTTTACCATATTCTTTTTATTTTACTTTTAGTATTTGGTTTCCTCTTTGGTATTAATGATGTTTCTGTTTTCCGTTTAGTTCTCAAGCATAACAATTTCTAAACTGGATTCTCTTATTGCTAACTTCTTGGATCTACATTTGTGTTTCACCTTTCTTTAGTATTTCAATACAAAGCCTTATGCTTGTGACTCATCAAGCCTGCCTAAGTACCCACCGAACAAGGAAATTGATGCAAAGTTCCGAGAAGAAGCGCGAAGGTGAATTCCTTTCTTCTTAAAGAATTTTATTGCACATGGTTTGAAATAATCATTGCCTAGTCCATAGATGGGACAGAAAGACAATAAAGGCCAATGGACATTATCTGCATTTGTATGCACTATGCACTACTCGGAAAAAAAGAAGAAGAAAAAGAGCATGCTGTTTCACTGTTATTCACAGCTTTTAGCATTTACTTCAATGCTGTAGTTCAAAGTTATCTAGACAACCTAACTGAACATATCATTAACAGGCTTTAAGTGAGCGCTAGATCTTATGAATTAAAATTTGTACATCTCGTCCATCTCCTATTTTTAATAACCGTGCACCTTTCATGACTTTGCATTTCTCTTACCATATTTAAAAGCTTAATTTGAAGGTGTGTTTCATTTTCAGAAAGAGGGCCAGTTCCAATGCACAAGCATCTGAAACTTCAAGAAATTCAAGAAAATCCCGGAAAGCCCTCCAAGAACCAAGCAGTTTCTGCAAAGTGGTTCCATCAGAGGTTTCTGTCTCATCTCACAGACACTCATTCACATTTCCTCTTTGATGGTAAATTGAGAAAGTCGTTTTTGTACTTTTGAAGGAAGTTGAGGCCAATGTTCATGGTTCTCGTAGAAACCACGGTGGTAGTGTCCATATTTCTAAAGGAAGACGAGCTACTGTCTCACGGATATCAATGAAACCATTGTATGACACAGTGTCAGAAGCTTCTCAAATGACTGATGAATCTCAAGGGGACAGCACCATTCTTTCTGTCCCTGTGCAAATGCCAGAATCGAGTGGTTTCGCATGGGCCAAAAAAGGAAAGCTGGATTCTGCAACGACAAAGCTATATCCACCGGCCAATTCAACGAGTCAAAAGTTAAGTTCCATAGATCCTTCTGGTGTACTGCACGCTGAGGATACCTGGGACTCAAACATGCAGGACAATTATGAGCTTTTAAGTAGGGCCCACACTTTCAAACATTCTATCCATAGGCAACATGGTCATCATGAACGATCAGATTCGTTTGACTCGTCTGATCAGGAACAGTCAGTGGTAAGTATACTTCCTCTAACTTAGCAACTTCATATAAGTGGTGCTGACTAAAACTTTTTGTGTTTGCTTCTTATTGCCCATAGAAGGGGTTCTCTTCTATTTTTTCGCAACTTTTATTATTTTCATTTTTCAACATCCACATGTAAAAATATGACTTATTGAAAATATATGTTCATCAACTTTTGTTTACATCTTGGTGCTATGGTCTGTGATCTCTCTGAAATGACCAGGATTACAATGGCCAACAAGGAAGGGTTGCGTACTCGGGGCCCTTGTTATGTCAGTCCCAGAAGTTCGATACCAAGCAGGATAGTCAATCTCGAAAAGCTGGTCATAGGTCCCGGTTTTATAGAGGTAAACTAAATCCTGCATCTGGCAAATTCTCTTTATAAATGTCGAGAAACTATTTTCCGTTGCATCAACTAGACATTTTCCGGTCACCTACTATAATAGAACATTGTTTGTTGTTGTTGTTGCTTTCTGTAGCACTTATACCAGGTTTGTTTTTTGTTGCTGCAGATTTATAAATGGAATGATCCGGCATGCCTTAACTAGTGAATTTTGAGGATAGACTGACTTTGTAGCTCTCTCTTATCAGTACCTCCTTGGATTATCTGTTTCGTGCTCACAAGTCGATTGACAGTTGAGAAATACTATCTCCGGGTCCCCGTTTTGTATATATAACGTCTCCTGAAATACCTGCTTACTGTCTACACACCATTTTGGTACAACATTTTTGAGGTTTCTTGTTTCTGCACTATGATACAGGCAGTTATTTTTCTCACAAAATCTTCAGGGAATCCGGCGAAAAAATCATGCATAAGAAAATATTAATTAATGCAAGTTCAAATCATAGAGATCAGATGGAATAGCCAGAATATTGATGCTCAGAGTGGTTTGCTAATTTGGAGATTTCATTAACTGGTTGGAGAACATTAACATGCTCCCCTATTAGTATCCAACCTGATTTTATAATTCTCCTTGTTTTTCTTTTTACTTTTCCTTTTATTCTTTTTTTTTTTTTTGTAATTTTTATTTTACACGTTTAGCTCATTTATTATCAGCTTTCACGTTATTTTTGTTCTTTATTTTTTATCTTGTGTATAGATGCCTTGGGCTTAGAGGGGATGTTATATAATTTGTTTATATTCTATAATATCTCTGTACATATGCATACTCTAAAGAAGAATATGAAAAAATTGTGTAACAAAAAAAGGATGTTTATAAACCTCTTACACATTTTGCTTTTGAAATTTACACGCATTATATGTGGATATGTTATCTATTGTTTAATTTGTAGTACTCTAAACAACCAATATTTGCAAATTCATATTTGGATTTTGGGGAAGTTCTAGTTCATGCTAACGATCTACTGCATTTTATTTATTTATTTGTATAATTCCCATGATTTTTCGTCTTACTTGATAGATAGGTACTGGACATAGGATAGAAAATCAAAAAAATAAAAAGCATTGGAGGATCTTGTATAGTCTAGTGCGCAAAAATCTTATATTTTTAATTGAACTCGTGTCAATCAACTTCAATTTTAAATAGTACTTTCTCTATTTCAATTTATGTGAACCTATTTGACCGGGCACGAAGACTAAAAAAGAGAGAAACTTTTGAATTTGTGGTGTAAAATAAGGCAAATATATTATGTGTGGTTATAAATCATTGCACAAAGATAAATTATTTCTAAATAAGGAAAAGGGTTAATTCTTTTTGGCAGGGATTAAAAAGAAAATATGTTCACATAAATTAAAATGGAAGCATAAAGAAAAGAATCTGCATTGTAGGCCTCTTAAGGGGAAAAGTAAAAAATGAAAATTCAATATTAATTGATATCAAAACTAGGTCCTCTTATTTTCATACCTAGCAAAAATCCACAATCTTTTACATATAGACTCCAAAATTTGACACAAAAGGAAACCTCAAATTGCTTAGACTCACGTTTTCTCTTATCAAAAAGTCAGAATCTCAACAGGTAACACCTCTTTTAAAGCATAAAAATGTTTTTTTTTAAAGATACTAGGCAATACCTTATTATATTGGTAATGTTATGTAAAAAATAAAAAAATCATGTTCAACAAGTGTCTTAATGCCTCTCGTAACAATAAAATTTCAAAAGATGCAAGTTTGTTTTGAGTTGTGGAAAAAAGTAGGCTACTGAGATTGAATTAGAAACCATATTTTTTGATAACTTGGTAACCATATGAGGGCACAAGTCGAATTACAATGTTTTATGTTAATGAGTTCGATTCTCAAAAGTTTCTAAGGTAGGATAAATAAATAAACAAATGAATAGAGTTTAAAAAGTAGACTCTGTTTTGAGGCGTGCCTAATTCAAGTAAACAAAGTAGATTACCATCGTATTTAAGTGCAAATAGTTTGTAGTTGTCTTACTCGTAATTGGATTTTAGTACACTCAATTGCCTTCTCAAATATGTACAGTATATCAAAGTAAAAGATAGTATGTGATAGTGGTTTATATTATTAAATTATGTAAGGTAAATGTAAAAGACTTTTGATGGATGATCAGTTAAAAGATCTGGTATCGTACAAAGTTACAGTATTAACATGATCACCTTTTAATTTCATCTTTCAGAATACAATTCTTATACTTTTCTTATACAATATTCTTTCTTGTCTTAGTATAGAAAGTCGGAATTGCTTGATCATCAAGGGACCATTTGAAAACTCCCCCATGCAACATGCAGGTATCGAGATATATAATGCGAAAACCTTCTTCATAATTGATTGTATTATTATGGACATTAATCTTCGTCAATGCTCATAAGCGTTGGAATTTGTCCATGATCAACAAAATCAATCTTGTTTAACCTCACACAAGCTAGAACTTTCTCTGGCAGCTCCTCTGGCTTTTGTGCCTGTGAGATTTAGTCAATATGCGATGAGAGCACATCATTTATAAGGCAAAAGCATCAGCTCGTTTTCTATTTTTTAAGAACAAGAAACTAGAAGGTTTTAAGTTAAATACAGTGTGTAAAGAGTTTTCACATGATCAGAGTATGCATAACATATGATAGCATGTTAGCGGAGGCAGAGCTAGAATTTGAACTTCATGGTTTTGAATTCTAGGACAGTGACCTCAAGTGTTAGTAACTGGATTTCGGGTTTCCAATTAATATTTATCATATAGGTTCACTTATATGATATCATGTGACCAGGAGGTCACGGGTTCGAGCCATGGAAACAGCCTCTAGCAGATGCAGGGTAAGGCTGTGTACAATAGACCCTTTGGTCTTCCCCAGACCTCGCAATAGCTGGAGCTTAGTGCACCGGGCTGCCCTTTTTTTTTTTGTTCACTTATAATTACCTTATATGTAACCTGATTGTATAAACATTGTCTACAGGGCTATCATACAGAATTCAAACTCAAATTAAAGTAGAATAGCAAGAGACCTGAATTGTTAGACCAAGATCCAGTATTCCATGCTGTAAACGATCTCTGAAAGCGTCGAGTCCCCTTCTTGCTATGTAGCTGAAGCGATGAATGTCAAGATCAATCTCAAAATAATTCGGGCCCTGCAATTAATAGAGAAAACATAAATAGAATTCATTAATTCTGCTGTTCAAGAACAGCCAGGACATTGCTAAAATGACTTAAAAACCAAAGCGATAGACTAAGCAAATCATGGAATATCCACCTGATAAAAGCTGTGTTGAGGGCGGGAAAGCACAGGCTTCTCGTTGTAACTATTCAAGAGCTTCCTTTCAGTTGAACTGGAAACGAGCTCTTCTGGATTAACCACCCCAACCATTATTTTCAACCTCTCTCTGAAAGGAACTATTGAATCTTTCGCAAATCCTTTAACCTTCTCCGTATCATCATCAATGAATCTCTGTCACACAAGCCAGTAGAAAGGAGAATTAAATCAGGAAGTAAGTTGCAGTGATTTCTCTCCCTATCGCCCAGTTCCACAAGAAAATAAACGGCTTAGACGGTCGCCACATTTTCAGGAAATTAAAGAATAACCCATGTCAATAAAAGTTCGCTTTAAGGAAATTCAAGAACTAATATTTTGCTATGGTGGAGCTTTTGCTTGAAAAAGTTGACATAACCAACCTTGATGCTGTCCTGAAACTGGGGAGAGATGTCTTTCTCTAAAGTTTCAGAAAGTTTAAAATATAACACAAGGCTAAGGCCTTCACCATCAGCATCACCAATGAACATCGGAGCAGGATAAGTAGGTAACTGTACAGAAGAGCAACTTTATTTCATTAGCATAGCATATCAATAGATCTTTTCTTCCTTAGGTGGGGAGGGTAGGGGGTTCAGTCATGTACCTGAATGTTGACAATTAGTAGAGCAGGTAATTTTCCATCTCCCTTTATAGAAGGAAGTTCGATATGTTGGGCAATGTGACTGATCTTTCTTGAACACAAAAATAAATCCACTCCAATTGGAGTATAAGGAGATGCATTTGGAGCAGGTGATTTTTTCTTATCTCTGCATATGCAAAGGAACAAATGTATAACATTCAATTATGAAAAGTGACTTAGCAATAGTTAATTGACAAGAAATGCAAGTTAAGAGCATACGTGAAAAAACTATCGCTACGAAGCTTAAAAGTAGAGGGCTCAATCTCAGACCAACTTCCTGCCATTGGCTTTTCTTCTGTACAACGAGGAATAATGAGCCCAGCCCTGGGACGCAAAAGATATTTTCTTGGTGCGCCTACAAGAATACCATTATGGTTAATGTATTGCTACCTTTGCATTAGTTTTTTCATCTTTCTTTACATTCCAGAAAAGGAAATTAAACACGAGAGTATCATGTAATGGCTCAGTAAGTATGGTTCTTAGACTACAAAATAATCAGGATTCAAATACCGAAAATGTGGAGTTTCAAATCGGGCTCAATTCAATATTGCAGAATAATGGCCAATGGAAAGTCACGAGGTACTTACGAAATCCACTTTTTTCTTCTTCAACAGATGTTCTCAGAGAGAGCCTTATAATTGTTGATTTCTTTACTTGAGAAACTCGACCTGAATTTGATGCACTAATGATCGTCATTGAAATGCATTAAGTGATCAGCTTTGCGACTATGATATGCAACAGAGAGAGTGAACATATGTACATAGTGTTGAGAAGGGTATAGACTAAATTAGATACATTGATCTAAAGGATTAAAAGAAAACTTTGGGAGCTTAAGTTTCTGTAGCAAAAGTAATCCCAAGGATATTAATCATACAGCATAACAGCAATTTCCACAAAAGATAAGACGAAAAAGCACGTCCCATGAATCATGAAAACCAAAAGAAAGGGACAAGAACTAGTTAATTGTCAAACTATCTATTCATTATTAAGCATTGACTACAAGTGAAAAGCAAAGATACTGAAGTACTTACCTCCATGAACACTACTGAATTCATCATCTGAGTCAGACTCAAAAATGCTGACTGTGTCAAACCATGCATCTTCCTGGCAAAGAACTGCAAACAGGTAAACCTTTTATTATTACAAGTCTTGGTCAAATTAATCTGATTGCCAGTTGCTCAAACCAACTAAGCTCCTTTCAAAATGCTTTGGAGAGAATGAACATTCATATTGTCAAAGCACCACAATATGGCCATCGGTCAATGGACTATATATCTGCCCATCGGCCATCGGTCATAGTAATAACTCACGGTTGATGTGTTTATAAGATAATTTTCTCATCAATCATAAGCATATAATAAGGTTCAAAACAAAAACAGAAAGATTAATATTGCATACCATTGGCATCTATTTGACTATGGTGCCATTCCAACTGAGTAACATGGAATTTAGAACTGGAGCACTCAGATCTTCTGCAGGTTGTGGTTTTGTGTACAAACTCACTAACAGCAATATCTGTTACCCGTGCTCCTGCATCACTGTTTCTTTTCGGAATAGAGCTTGAATTCTTTCCGTGGTACTTTCTAGGGCGACCAGGAAACTTCTTTCTCATTTTGATAGGTATTTCTGGAGTTGATACACAAGCACCCATTCCTCTGACTCAGATAACAAATCTCTCTGTCAATTGATACTATTCCATGCGAGACGCCACTTCCAAGTGGAACACGAGAAATAAGGATACCTGGCACATGTGTAACAGAAAATTTGAAATGTGTGACTATAGTACTAGTACTCCAACAGATTACTACGCCTCAATCTCACACAAATTGCGGTGCCTATATGCATGAGCGGTGCCAGGAGGGCTGAAGGGGACTCACTATACATATTAGGTCAAATATGTATATATAGTAGATGTTGAATCGCTTAACTTTTTCGTATGTTTTCTTCTTTATATTTTTGGTTCCTGGCTCCGCCACTGCCTATATGAATCCTCGCTGACCATGTGGCTAATAGTACTATTATATCCCAAAGCATGAAACATAGTACTTAAGTGACAATAATTATCAATCACAGGTATATGTATGACATCCACATAATTATTAAAGTTGAAAAGAGACATAAGAGCTGAATTTGGGGCCAAAATATAACGATTCTGCAATATATAGAAACACCTAATCATCAGTACTGAGTATATAATTCTGCTCTAGTGGACTAAGAAAGCTAAAAGAGTATTAGAATCTTGAACTAATAGCAGGACATGTAAAATGGCCAGTTTCAGAAAAGTGAACAAAGCAAATAAAGTGTCATTCTTACTCACTGTAATAGTTCCAAAATTGAGCATCACCCGTCTGCAAATAAGCATTCAATAAAACCAAACATTAATTAGTCTTTATTTGGCAGTTCCAAAGATCTCTTTAATACAGGAAAAAAAAGAAACTTCTTTCCGGCTTAAAAGCAGTGAAACTCAAAAGACAACTAAATAAATCCTATGAAAAAGGCTTCAATTCATGAGTTGTTTCATGTGATCATTTGCAGATAGCGAAAAAAAACGGAGACATTAGTGCATTACTGAAAAAGTGAGGACATAAAAACAATTACTAGTATTCCTTATTAAATATAAATGACAAGATAAAGCTGCTTTCTTCCACTTTTTTCCTTTCATTTTAATCATTTGCCTTGCCTTTTTCAAAACGTTATATGCAGGAAAAAAAGAGGTGGAATGAATATGAGTTTGTGTTCACTTTGCGAGACTGACTCAAACAAAAAAATGTCAGATCAGATATATAAAGAAAAAGATACTAGAAAAGAAGCAAATGGGTCACATCATAATTAGCAGAGGAGGACAAATCCATAAAGTTAATGGATGTAACGCACCCAAGCGGACAAATAAAAAAAAACAATTTCTTCTTAAATAGGAAATAATTAAAAAAAGTGCAAATGCGTAGAGAATAAGATGTGATGAAAGTGAAAGCAGAAAACGCCAAATAAGAAGAATTGAAAGACACAAAATATATGAATCAGCAGGCTTTGGAAACAAGCGTTAACCGACGAAAATAAACTCCTATGTAAAACCATGAAATTCAAACGCATCCATCTTTAAGCAGAAAGGAAAATACGAACAGAAAATGAAGAAGCTATATAAAAATAGAAAAAAATAAATACTTTTTCGTTCAACAAAAAAAAAAAAAAAAAAAAAAAAAAAAGTTACCTTAACCTGGTGAGATGCTGAAGAAAAAATGAAGAGGCGTAGCGTCGGCTCCCTATGAAGATGAAGAAGAAAAAAAAATGGAGGAACGCAGAGAAGATAGAAGGAGGAGGAAGTGTGGGTCCGATACGTCTCGGATCCAAACACACTTCCAAACCTTCTCTGTTTACAAACTGCTAGCTCTTGTGATATTTATATATATACAGTATATATATATATATATATATTTTTTTTTTTTAATTTTTTGTTGTGTGTAATATATATATATATATATATGTATTGATGTTAGGATTTGATAGAGTGAATATATAGATAGAGAAACTTAATTTCACAGAGGAATGAGAAAAAACAGGAGAAGGCAAGGAAGATGAAGAGGAAGAGGAGGAGGGACGCAAACGTCCTTTCAGATTATTAATTTGTGTTTGTTTATTTAGTTACACTACTGCCTCTTCCCCACCAAATCATTTAATTACTTGCCTCCCTCCATTTCTATTCTCTTTTTTCCTTTTTTATTTATTTAAATTTGAATTATACTTCCACCTTCTCAAATTACCTGTCGTGTTTCTATTTTACACATCACTTAAGAAATACTTTCTCTGTCTCATATTATTAATCGTGGTTATTAAAATTGTCTCAAATAGCTTGTCATCTTAGAAGTTTAAGATAAAATTAATTATTTTTCTTTTTTTACCTTTAGTAATAATTATCCTTGAATACTACAAACACTTCAATTATGACTGAATATTAAATGAAGAGAAATGATATCTTAAAACATAAATAAGAGTAAAACAGTCAAAACTTATCCTATTTAATATTTTCTTAAGGGACGTATAAAAGAGAAACACGCCGAATAATTTGAGACAAAAGAAGTATTACTAAGAAGGGGTTTTAGACTATTTTACCCTTATTTATGTTTAAGATATGATCTTTGTTCATTGAATATTTACTCTATTTATGTGCTATATCCATTTTCAAGAATAATTATTATTATGGGTAAAATAGAAAAATATATTTAATCTTGAACTTCTAAAATAAAATATAATTTGAGACAATTAATTTTTAGAAAATATTTGGTAGAGATCTTTTCCCGATGCAAAACGAAATTTGAAAATTTTAGAGATCAATGCACATTTAATCTGATTGTATTGCATTGTCCGTCGACCACTTCATTAACTTTCACATTCATTAGTTGGTAAGGGCGCTTACTTCATTAAAAGTTTCTACCAAACTAGTTTGGTAATTTGCTTTTCTAGTAATTGATTTTTAGCTGAATTAATTTCGTCTTATACTAATACTACTCACCAAACACGACGAAAATCAAAGCCATGCATGTTACAGGTTTTGTAATAAGAATAAAACCAAATAGGGGTATTAAATAGATTGAAAAGTTCTACGCTTTTATTCAAAGTTAAGATTTAGATTTGAAAAATTAAAAGTGAGTAAGATTTATTACTTCTCTATTATACAGTTTTCTAACTTTATGAAATTAAATACGGATTGGAGTATGTATATACTAATCGAGATAAAGCAATAACGATTATGGTTGGAGCATAATCAAACAAGGTGTCTTTAATCAATTGTTTCAAGATACAAGAAAGGTAATTAGAGAAACAAAAAACCTTATTCTTTTCCAAAAAGAGAGAAACGTTTACTTACTATTTTTATATAGATCGATTAATCTCGTATTGTTTAAGTGATTTTCTTGGATAGAGTAACATAGAAGACCAACTAGATGATGTTTTAAATTCTCTTTTAATGGGTATTAATTCAAAAGCGGATTCAAGATTTAAATTTGATGGTTTCTATCTTTAATGTTTTTACCAATAAACTCATTGCATTTTCTAAAGGAAAGGGAATATTTGGGAATTATCGAAGGAAAAACAGATGCATGTGGTAGATAATATAATGCAATCTTCTCAAGGCTCATTATATCACTGGATAATAAAGCAGTATTTTAATATGCTTTCTTGTCATGTGCCATTGCCTGCTTATTATTACGTACTTTGATTTTCATTTCCTTTATTAATTAATCACTCATTTCTTTCACTTATTGTGTCAACAATTAAAATACCTTGTTATGGCCCTTATGTCTAACTTATTTTATTACAAAATGCCACATCTACAAGTTGCTCCTTCAACTTCAATTCTTCAAAGCAATCACCAATATATACTTTGACAAAAGCGACGATACATATTAATTCATAATTTTACCCCTGAAAATGTTAAAAAAACTTATTCACTGAGGAGATGTTGATTAATCATTTTTAAATAATCTATATTCGTAATTGGTATCTGGCTGTTTACCCGAGCAATGTGAGATCTTTAATGGGAGGGAAAAAAGAAATTAACCATTGAAGTTGACCAGGTATGTAGACAGGTTAATTATATACAAATTCTGCTTAAACAACAAGGTATGTACCCGTTTATTCTTTACATAATAATTGCATTCTTTATTTCTTTAGATGCTAAACTTCTTAATTTTGAGCTCTTATTTGCAATTAACCACTAGAATATCATTGACTTTTTACTCGATTCATTTATATTACTTGAATTGTGTCCTTCAAAAACATAGAGGAGTACTTCTTCAACTACAAGTTAAATTTAGCATTATTGCCTTTTGCAGATGTTTGTATATACTATACTTTCTGTACCCAATGGATATTGGCTATCTTAGCTTTTATTACACAACACTTTGGACAGTTCCTAAGTGCTGTGACAGTTCCTAATCTATCAACTGTACTATTTGCTTTATTTGATGTTAGCTGTTGTTAACCAAAAAAACTGCTAGTGGTTGCTCTGTCAATAGTGAATTATTGGTACCGATGCCTACCAGTATCTCGTAGATTCGTACATTAACGATTCTTACTAGTGGGTCTGTTTACCCGTAAAACGATACAGTTGAATTTATACGTGGTTTCTAGATAAGTGAATTAATTCGATCATGAAATAATAAAAGAATTGAAGAAATACACAATACTTAGCCTTGAGATGAAGATGAAATGGCAGAAACAATAAATAGGGGAGCAAGGCTTCCGGGGACAACAGTAATGAAATCGAGAAGTAAGAAGATAAAATTGTACAGAGCTTTGAATAAATTATAGTGTAAGTTTTCCGAAAAATTCGTGTCCTTTACAATGATAACAGAGCTCACTATTTATAGTTGTTCCTCGGTAACAAGGTCCTAGGATCATGCCCTTCTTTAATGTTAATTATGAGGGCCATTAAAGAATGTGTGACAGTGAGCATAAATGACAAAATTTTTGTGACGGCCAGTGTAGTAAATATTGTAAAATATTCTCCACTAAATGCTACCGGGTGGCAGGCATTTATGCATCTTTATGAGCGTCATTCTTCCCGGTGATAAGTGGAACAATTGTCTTCGGTTTTAACTATCCTCTGCCTTCGCCTTCACGTGTCACTCTCTTATCATCCACTTAGCATAGCATATTTTACCCTATACAAATAGTCCCCCTGCTTTCCGGCGACATAACTTTGTGTCACCGAGAAAAGCTTCTGACAGTTGATTAGACGCACGTCTCTCCATATTTAATGCCCCGAACATGCGTTACATCCCACGATTCAGCATAACTCTTGACGGTTATCGAGGTAATTATGGCCACGAATTTAGCCGCACATCAACCTCCTTCATTCATACTTCATAATTCTCCAAACTCTCTCAAACTCTCTTCATTCAACTTGTATTCTGTTCTTCAACCTTTCTCGAACTCTCTTCACAGGAGAGAAGTTTTTCCTTCTCCCACAACATACAATGGCTTCTTCTTCAGAAAATACCAGTTCCTCAAAGAACAAGAACAAAGCCGAGGACACCGCTCCTCCAACAGTGAGCACCATCATCCCTAGAAGTCTTGTCACTACAAAAGACTTCGAAGAGAAATTTCCTTCTGTTCGTCCTCGTACATGGGTCATTAGCAGATATCCTTCTTCCATCCGTCTTTCCAGCATTCTTGATGTGAAGGAATATTGTCATTGTCATGACTTAGACATTATCTCTCCCGATCAGGCGGAGTGAGTAACCTTACCCAATATGGGTTTTACGTACTTCTATATGTATCCCTTTACTTTAAGGACATTTTCTCTAATTGGAGAGCTTGACTCCGTTATTGAGGAGTTTTTCCTTCGCTACCAAGTGTGTTTGGCACATGTGAGTCCCTCCGTGTAGAGGACGATTGTTTGCCTTCGGTGCCTGTGCCAGGAAACGGGGGAGGAGCTATCCCTAGCTCACGTGATGAACCTTTATTCCCGCAAGATCTTCCGTGGGGGGATGATCAACTTCAGCAAGCGAGGCCACCATGCATTGCTGTCCAGCATGGATGATGATAATGATCGTGGGTGGATGAAATGGTTTGTTTCAGTTGCCACCAGCGACATCATCCCATCCTCGGCTTCTTCCTTCCCGGAACTGTGGAACTGCACCCGTAAGTATACAGTTTGTTTCTAATCTTGTTAAAAATCCTTTCCTCATCATTATTGACTTTTCTTCCTTTATCTGCCTCAGCGACTCGGTGGGTTCCCCCTAGGGTTGAGGGCCTGGACCAATGGGTTTTGAAAATTTTGGATGTTATTACGCCCGAAACCCGCTTGTGAAAAGAACTGTCCCTGAAATACGGGTGGAAGGCCAAAAATCATGGTAAGTTTAACTCATCATGTCCTTACCTTTTTTTATGAGAAAGTTAGCTGATTCTTTTCTCCCGTTGAATATAGTTCTATCCCAGGGCTCAGTTGTCGTCTCCAAGGAGGACGTTTTGGCTGATTCTGCTGATGCGGCAAGGCTGCTGTCGAAGGCCTTTTCACAGGAAGGCGTCTCCGGGCCTGCTTTTGTTGTAAGCGCTTCTTTTCGGAGTCCACGACCGGAGAACAAGCAACCAAAAAGAAGGCGTTCCTCTGCGGCCGGGGAGGGGGGGGGGGAATAAGAGGGCGAAAAATGTTTCCCCTGAGTCATCTATGGAAGTTGTAGTGATGAGCCATTCACCCGGGCCGGCCATAGATATCGTGATGATTGATGAAGATGGAGAATCTAGTGAGGAGGGAGCTTCTCTACATAGAAGACGAGGACCTTCCTCAACTTAATAGACCGTTCAATTTGTTGAGTTAGTTATACTAATCGAGGACGATGTCTCAGCGCTCCGAGGGGAGTATGAAATAGTGGAAAATGCCAACTTCCGCTTCCAGATCCCAGTTGTTGCACCCGGTATTGTGGGGCTGAGTACCGGGTCCCTGCCGTCTTCGGTTGACGAGCAACCAGCAACAAGCACTATG